GGGGAGGAAGGCGAACTTCCCCACCACCCCTTCTCCATCGTGTTCCGGGCTCTTCCGGCGGTATTCAGAGTTTAGTCCGTTTGCTTACCACTCTCTAGAGCTTTAATACCCCGTCTTTTAACCCCGACAGCTAAATAGCTACATCTTAAGGAACGATAACTTAAGGTTTTCCAGATCAGATGGTGTTTGCGTAGGCAGCTTTCCAGGGAAGTGGACACATCAGCCTCTCAGAAATTTTTCAAGGGTCGGAGATGCCGTGTGTGGGCACCTTCACTAATCTCCTTTAAATTCCTCTCATGGGGAAAAGGACAAAGCTTTACATATGTGAGATTATAAGCACCCTGATGGATGGTGGAATAGCCTGTGGCAAACTGCACTGGCTGAATCCATGAGATGGCTGGTTTTGGTCTTGTATCTTCTTTCTGCTGCTGTTTAAAATACCTGCGTGGCTTGTTTCCTTCTGAGCAAAGTGCTAGCTCCAGCCTTGGAGACAGGCGAGTCATAAGTTGTCCTACGTAATAAAGGAGAACTAATTATTTTAATGGTAGCTGTGGCTGAGTTATTCAGCTACTTTATCAACTAGAATGAATGTACTGCGTTTTCATGCCTAATTGTGGCCCTGGAACTGCAGTTCTAATATCTAGGTTGTGCTCTGGTTCCAGAAATTAGCACCCAGGAATCCTTAGATGCTTTCTGTTCTGGGTGATCACAGGACCATAGAGTGGTTCATCTGGAGTTTCCCAGGTTGGATTTAGTTTAAATGGCAGTAAAATGATTACTTTTCTTGCATAGTGCATTTTTTCTGACATTGAAGTGATACCAGGAATATCTAGTATAGTAAAGTTACGTCTCTGGATTGCTTTATGTAGCAGGCTGACAGAGAATAAAAATGGCAGCGGATATCACAGTTGCACTGTCCCTGTTAGATCTTCTGACTGGCGAACATGTGAGAGCGAGTGAGCACACGTGCCTTCCAGAACATCTGTGTATCTGCTTGTTAGGAGCCAAATGGTTTGTTACTGACGTTAAGTTGGTGAAACTTTTTAAAACCAATGATCCTGTAACATTGAGGAGGGTGAAGACACACAAAGGCAAATTTCTGCAGATGTTACAAAACTGTGTTTTGTTGCGTTGGGCTGTAGCTTAGAATTTTCAGAGCTGTATGTGAAATTAAACTCCTTGGTAGAAACATCTACTGTCTGAGTGCTGCCCGGAAGCATGGCGCAGCAGAGGCAGCGCAGACCCTATTTGCAAGGGGAAGCAATCCATTAATGTCTATTTGCTTTATTAAAAATCCTACTGTGTATATAGTCCTACTAGATATGTAAAAGTTCTCCTGGCCCTGTAGTTTGATGAAGCTCCAGGAAATAATATTAGAGAATGGTATGTTTTGAGCAGTCAGAAGGTTTAGGTGCAGGATCGGTCTTAATTTTGCACTCCATTGGAGACATGAGTGTAGTGTAAGGATACCTGCACTGACTTTATCGGTGCAGAGCTGCTGTCTGCTCTGTAGACATGCCTGTGTTTATTCAGACCAACGAAATGGGATTAATTTGTGGCCTCTGTGAGAATCCCCAGCATTTGTCACTGTCACAGCGGTTTAGAGTAATGTTGGCTTCTGTCTTGAGAGTTGCATTTGGACTATGAAGCTTTGAGTGTTGTCGTGTCCTGTCCCATCCTGCCCCCCCGCCCCATTCTTTCACTTGCTCATTTCCTGTAAGTTGGAATTTTTGACTGTGTAGACATTTGAAATCAGGAGTAGATATATGGAGCTGGATGTGAGAAAGAACCATGTGGTCTACAGAAGAGAAAACCCCATATGGGAGTTTGATTCTGAGAGCAGAAACAGGACAGAAATTTCTAACCCATTTGCGTACAGGAAAAGCAGAGGGTTTGGTGTATTTGGGCTGGGGGGCTACAGTCTCTTCAGTAGAGGGCCTGCAACTTTGTAGAGGTTTTTCAGTGCTTAAATGGTGTCGTAATGCTTTGACTAATCAAACATACTGAACTGAGAAAGGAATGAAGACGTTTCTGACATGTCTAGTTCAGAAAGGCAGCATACAGAATAGCCTGGATATCAGGCTGGCTAGTTTATATCACATTTATTAAAGCATGTGTGGCCTAAGGACTCCTGCTTAGTTTTCATTGAAACTTTTGATGAACAAAATATTTCAGGCATAGACTTCATTCTCAGGTTGTGGAATTCTTATATTAGTTTCCTGAGAGCAGTTAGCATGTTATGACTAGGTCTTAGGTTTGCAGAAGGCTTGACCTGACTAGATGTAGTGGACCTTCAGAGCAGTTCTCTGTTCAAGGCCAGCCGCATTGTTTTAATGCTGAAAAAACAATCTCCTGCGTCCAGGAGTTGTCCTTGTGTGTTAACTTCAGTTTAGTGTGCTACTACGGAAGACACATTCAGTCTTTTGTAGACACAAGACATGCTTTGTGGTGGTGCAGGACGAAAGATGTCTTCTTTCTCACAAAGAGAACAGTGATTTGGGGCGGGTGGGCTGGTTCCTTCTTAGAAATTATGATGTCCGATCTAAGCATAATCTTATGTTTCCTTAATCATGTGAGAAGGTATAAAACTTGCTAAGCTTCTTCATTGAAATGGGTCATGATCTTGAAAATGGTGTTCGTGTGCTTGTTCCCTAAGCTGTGGGCTCCTGCCTGCGCAGGCAGCTTTCCTTCTGCTGCAGCAGGCTGTGGAGGTTCCAAGAGGAAGCCAGCAGACAGCGTAACCGGTTGTGCGCATTCTTTGGTTACTGTGCCTGATTCATGTGTCTAACTAAGAATTAGAGGGAAGCCCTGTGACCAAACTTCTTTGACGATCTTTCTAGTGCAGTGTGTACAACCAAAGACACACATCTATCTGTGTGGGCACTTTTGTGATGCTGTGCTTCAAACACACGTACGCGCGGTTTGCTGCCTTTCAGTAGAACCTTTATGAAACATCTAAGTTGCAGAAGATTGGAAGAGCATCAACAAGAATATCACATGTAGGGGAATGAGAATTGTGAGGAAAAGATTGCTTTGGGAAACCCCCAAAGTTGCAGGGTGTAATACAACAAGAAGCTGGAGAACTGCTCCTTTGATGAAGTGGTGGTATTTTAATGAGTGAGGGTATTCATGATGCTGAATTTTAACTGTGAGAACACTCCTCAATTACTAGGTAAGAAAAACTGGAGGAAGAGTCTCATTAAGTTTCTAAAATTGGTGTATTAAATATATATGATGGTCTGAAAATATGGCCAGATATATGTAACAAAACGGAACGATAGCTATGAAGTCAAACTTGCATCTCAAGTGAAAATAGTAGGAGGCATTCCTTTGTTGGAAAACTGAAGAGCTCATGGGTTAATTATCCCAGGTCCACAGATGATGAATTAGGTTAAAAGTGAGTCTTGGAAGGTTAGTGCTGCCTTCACAGTCGGAGTCCGTGAAATAAGCTGCTTCACTGGCTAAAGAGCTCATTAACAGCCTTTAACAGCTTGGACTCTGAGCTTCAGTTTCCCACCTGTGGGGGGAAGAGGATGAGACCTTTGCTACTTCGTAGCGTTGAAAGCTGAAAGAGGTCTTGCTGTATCCCCAGCACCTCCTAGGTTTCTTCCTAGTCCAAAGCATTCTCGTCAAGAGAGTTGTTTGTAAATCTTGCCTTTAAATAAATCGGGAAATTAATGTGTCACAAATGGAAGTCCAAAGTGTAACTAACACGTAATCAGGCTCTGTGGTATAGGTGTGCTTAAATATTTCTCTGATGTTTCACATAGTCTTACTTCAAAATTTGAGTCCGTAATGGTAATAAAATGGTGAAGTAGCTGGTAGCTACTCTGTCAAAGATCCACAGCATTAATATATTTTTCTGCTGAACTAATGCATAGATGTCAGGAAACTTGGACTATTGTAGGAAAAGTAGCAGAAGCTCTAAACTATCAAGCACTCTTCTCTTGTAACTGGTCACATCAGTGGGATCATCTTGGGACAAGATCTGCAATGTTTTTGAATCACTATGTAATCACTGTTTTGAGTCAGCTGACTTGTAGTACGTTGTTACAGATCTAGAAAAATCCCTAACTGAGATTGATGCCTAGGAATAGTTTGGGTAACTGAAGGAATGTTGAGAGAAACTTAAAGGTGTTATAAATATTAAATTCTTAACAGTGTTGTAAATATTAAATGGTAGGAGATTATTACGCTGCTAAGGAACTCTTGACTTTTACAGATGATTTTCGATCCCACTATGAGCAAGAAGAAGAAGAAAAAGAAGAAGCCCTTTATGTTGGATGAGGAAGGAGGGGATACACAAGCAGAAGAGACTCAGCAATCGGAAACAAAAGAAGTTGAACCAGAGCCAACAGAAGACAAAGACGTTGAAGCAGACGAAGAAGACAGCAGGAAGAAAGGTAAAGTAAATCCAAGTAGATAAACTCTCAAAGGTAGTCCTTCTATATTTTGGGACTACAAGCCCCATTTCAAGAATCATTTGGTTGGAAAAGACCTTAAAGATCATCAAGCCCAAATGTACCTGTCCACTACTAAACCCTGTCCCTAAGCACCTCGTCTGCCCAGCTTTTAAATACCTCCAGGGATGGGGATTCCACCACTTCCCAGGGCAGCCCCTTCCAGTGCCTGACAGCCCTTTCAGTGAAGAATTTTTTCCTAATATCTAATCTAAATCTGCCCTGGCGCAACTTGAGGCCGTTTCCTCTCATCCTATTGCTCGTTACTTGGGAGAAGAGACTAACACCCACCTCGCTACAAAAATAATTTGGCATTGCAGTGTATAATGCTGGAGCCCTAGTTTATTTAGGCACTTGTAATACTCTGCTGCCTATTTGCAGGGCATGTTTTCCTCCTGCTTGAAATCACGTTCACAGATATCCAGCAAGCTATCAGTGGCTTATGTAAATTCTGCTTTTCCTGACTCCTGACAGAGTCTTTTGTGTGAGACAATAAAAAGAGAATCCCTAAAATAGTTAGCATGAAGTTTTAAATCTTCCACATCCAGTTGTTGAAATAATTCCACAATTATGGCTGGTTTTCTTTTGAACAAATAAGCAATAGTGTGAATAACAGAGGGAATGGTTAAAAGGGTTTCTAGTTTTTGGACAGCTGTGGATGTGATAACTAGACTGTCCTTTGGAATCTTGCAGGAAATACTCTTGCAATTGCGTATATTACCTTGCTTTTTAAATTGAGGCCAATGCCATTTCAAGAAGACCCGATTCAGGGAATGCTGTTAACTTAAATCCAGCTTGTTGATAAAATTGGCTCCTGCAGTAGACCAAAGAAACTGTACCTTCTTCCTACAGTTTAATTTTCATTTTTTCCAAGCACCTCTGCTATAATGACAGAAGTGGCTAGTTTCTCTTGTACGACAGAAAGAAAGAATAAGCACTTGAAAAGTAAGAAAATGCAGTTAGAAGATGCAGAAACTGTACAATAGTACTGAGGTATTTGGATGTAGAGGGGAATGACTTGTTTAAAACCTGAAGGATATCTGTGGGGGCTACAGATCATTGCTTATGTCTTATGTAATGTTTTGAAGATTTGGATGTAAATTAGAAATCTTAATGTCTAAACTGTTTCTACAGTTACACTTCTTTTGGCAATCCTTTGCTTTTTAGATGCAACGGATGACCTGGATGATTTGAACTTCTTCAATCAAAAGAAAAAGAAGAAAAAAACAAAAAAGATATTTGATATAGATGAAGCAGAAGAAGGTGTAAAGGTTTGTTTACATAACTAGGCCATCTAGTTATGGCTGAAAACTTTCTTGCTTTCATTTTCTCAGGATTGGCAGTGCAGGAGCTGTTGCGAGTCTGTCATTGCGTCTTAGTGCAGTTAATAATGAAACGTACGTTTCACTGTGTCTTTCATACATAGTAGGCTCTGCTGAACATGTTGCTCCTGCAGGGCTTTTTGTCCAGAAGTGAAAAAAATCTAACTGACCTGCACAATGAACAAGTAATTCTACAACCTGTAGTGAGGCTTGACTAGTGTCAAGATTAATTGTCTTTTGGGGTGAGAGAAGTAAATGGATGTCAGAAGTCATGCACAGAATAGTCTTCTAAAGGCCAGCCCTTCAAATAAAGGATATTTATCTGCCAAGAAATCTGTTTTTACGCTGGTGTTTGCTTTAGAAATGACTGACTAGCTGCTGTTCTGTGTTCCAGAAGGTGCATGAGATATTTTTATTCTTCTCAAGTTTTATTCCAAGTCGTGTTTTTGTATTGCGTGTCAGTGTAACTGGCAAGCCCAGAGAGCAAGGGGACAGAGAAATGTTACATTATATGTAAATGTCCTCTTTGGATTCCGCCTTTTGGGGAAGACAATGTCCCTCTGATCTGCCCCAGACAGGTGAAATGCTTGCTCTGTGTTCTCTACATGTGCAGAATTATGATAACAAATTTGGACTGGCTGCAGGTAGCACAGCTTTGCCTTCCCCTGTAGTCTGGCATGCAGGGTGTTTTGTTCCCTTATGCCCTAAAATGGCCGATGCCTTTAGGTAGGTATAGAGCGACCTTGTTCTTGAGGTCCAGAAGTTAGACCAGAAAATAAAACTCTGGCCCTTCTTCATGGTAGCAGTGTTCTCTTCAACATACGTTAGTTCTGTTCCTGTCTGTTAGGTTTCAGGATTGTGGTGGATAGTACTGGTATTCATCTCATATAGTGAGCTACTGGTATTATTTCTAATTCTGTGCAATGGAGATTGGTTTAATACTGTAAACTGTAGTCTTATTATTTGTTTGCAGGACTTGAAAATTGAAGGAGATGTGCCAGAGGCAGTAGAACCTGAAGATGACCTTGACATCATGCTGGGCAATAAAAAGAAGAAAAAGAAGAATGTGAAGTTTCCAGATGAAGATGAGATAATGGAGAAGGATGAAGGTAAAAGTATAACCTAGCTCAATGAGATGCTGGAAGTGAAATGTAGCCCATGTTGTAGGTGAATAAGTTCTGTTCAAGTCCTTTTTTGTTTCAAAATTCATTTTGTTACCTTTATCACTGTATTATTTATCAGAGAAATGTTCTATAAAAGCACTATATAAATCTGTCATAAGTGCTGGTTTCCCTTGTAGGCAGACAGAGAAGACTTGTGTCCATGTCTTAGTGGAATCTTCTTTGATGTACCTTTTAGAAATGGTGTAAATGTGAGGTTAAAGAATGTTTCTTTTCTTAATGAATCCCAAACAACTTTCTTTACAGCTTTTGAGGATGAAGATAGCAAAAAAGACGATGGAATTTCTTTTAGCCTTCAGTCAGGACCTGCGTGGGCAGGGTCAGAAAGGGACTACACATATGATGAGGTAATGGTCAAAGGATTTTTTAAAAAATACTTCTATGTTGATGTGCACCAGTATAGCAGGGCCTGATGCTCCTATGTCCTATATCTAACTTAAAATTAAAGGACTTGTAGTCAGAAGCTCATGAAAAGAATAATAACAAAGCACATCTTTTATCACAGTTAATTTTCATATAGAGCAATATTAGTGATAGTTAAGACCTCTGCAAATAGGCTGAGGTACTTGTAGACTTATGAAGTAAATCCCTGGGAAAACAGCTTTTTATTTTGCATTTATCAGAACTTTTTTTCTAAGTGTGTGTTCAAAAGCATATGGGGAAATGCTAATGGGCAAAGCCAGTATTCATTCTGAACACTGTTTTAAGTTTTTTTTTTTTTTTTTTTTTGAGGATGAAGATAGCAAAAAAGACGATGGAATTTCTTTTAGCCTTCAGTCAGGACCTGCGTGGGCAGGGTCAGAAAGGGACTACACATATGATGAGGTAATGGTCAAAGGATTTTTTAAAAAATACTTCTATGTTGATGTGCACCAGTATAGCAGGGCCTGATGCTCCTATGTCCTATATCTAACTTAAAATTAAAGGACTTGTAGTCAGAAGCTCATGAAAAGAATAATAACAAAGCACATCTTTTATCACAGTTAATTTTCATATAGAGCAATATTAGTGATAGTTAAAAGACCTCTGCAAATAGGCTGAGGTACTTGTAGACTTATGAAGTAAATCCCTGGGAAAACAGCTTTTTATTTTGCATTTATCAGAACTTTTTTTCTAAGTGTGTGTTCAAAAGCATATGGGGAAATGCTAATGGGCAAAGCCAGTATTCATTCTGAACACTGTTTTAAGTTGTTTTTTTTTTTTTTTTTAGAAGTGATGTACTTCATTTGAGAAATGCAAGATATTTATTCATGTTGATGTGAATCCCTCTTTTTTTTGCAGTTGCTCAATAGAGTATTTAACATCATGCGGGAAAAAAACCCAGATATGGTAGCTGGAGAAAAACGAAAATTTGTCATGAAGCCTCCGCAGGTTGTAAGAGTAGGGACCAAGAAAACATCTTTTGTCAACTTTACAGATATCTGCAAATTGTAAGTTTCCTCTCTAGATTTCTCAGGACTAGCAGATGAATGGCCTCCTCTGTGCTCTTGGCTGTTGTGCTGAATGCATGTTTTCTGGCAAAAGGCTATGGCAATCCAGAAGTAAACTGAACGCTGTTTCAGTCATACTGCTCATTCTGACGCTTCTCTGTGAGAAGATATTTATGAAGATGATTTATTGAGATAATGTCTTATTTTATACTTAAATTATAAAAATGGTAGGCTCGCTATGTGGGCCTCATGGGCTGGAGCTAAGCCTATTGCTTTTGTGAGTTCATTGGCTTCTATCAAGTCTGTAGTTGGGTCACTGGTGATACTTATTTGCAAGTCTTGGGCAGGGAGGTGGGGAAAGTTCTTTCTAATTTGAGCTGACTATAAATTCTGTTCCCTTGGTAAATAGTATGGAGTTCAGTAAATTTTTTCTACTGTTTTCTGCAGTGCTTTTTGTGTCTTAATTATTTCCTGTGAAGGCAGTTCTATTCTTTGTGGGCACTTCTGGGAATGCCTATCTGACTTGTTTCGTAAGTGTGCCAGAAAACAGTCCTGATGAAATCATACTGAGGATCTGGGTAGTATATTGAAGTGAATTTTTAATGGTAGCTAGTAACATTTTTTTTTTTTTTCTGGGAATGGCAGGGGGAGAGGAGGGTAGGAATGGAAAATCTCAAATAGAAAACTTGTTTTCAATCGTTACGGTGAGTTTGGTTTGGGGGGGATGGTGGGGTTTTTTTGTGGACTGTTCAGCTTTCTTGTGTCCTCAGTCATTGTCTGCCTGTGCTCTTTGATGCAGACCCTCTGGCACTGCCCCCTTTTAAACTTGGTAATTTAAGATCATTTTAGCCTGTCGGTCCTGTATAAATAGCAAATTTCTCTGAAGGGGGAAGGTTAAACATATCGTTACTTTATTTTTAGATTACATCGTCAGCCAAAACATCTCCTGGCATTTTTGTTGGCAGAATTGGGTACAAGGTAAGGCTACTAGGCTATGCATGTGCTTATGCATGTAAGAAGCAATGGCAACATAGCTGACATTGTCTGATCAAAAATGAAATTCCTAGGTTTAGGTCTGTATGTATGTGCTTGAACATCAGGCTTTTCTTCCCTGCACATAAGACACTGTGCTGGGTGATTGAAGAGATACCGTCTTGGGGAAGAGGGACAGAGGCACACTGTAAGTCCCAGGGAACAGCCTGGATATTAAACAGTCTGGTTTGAATTCCCTGTTTAGATCCTTTTTCAAAGATGCTCTGATAGCAGAGCTGTTTGTCACAGTCGGTGAGGGTGGCTCTGTGGCTCCTATCAACCTAAGGCGGATGATAGCTAGCTAGGGAAGAGGGAATGCCTGACTGCCTGATTCTGTCTAATGCTGCAGTTAAATCCACCTGTCTTAGCATAAAACCAGCTCTGAGTTTATATGCCTCTTATCAACGATCTCCTGCTGTGGTGGTGTGCTTCCTGGTTGCCTCTTCAGTTCTCTGTTGTAGGCTACAGTGCTGTTATATGTAGATGTAGGGAATCAAGGAGTCTAATTGCAACGTGTATGTAACAAGTGCCCATCCGATTGGGTTTTGGAGTCTCTTCAGCTCCAGATGACTTAAACAAAAACTTAGAAACCATGGTGTGAAAAAACAGTCGACTTACTACATCTGAATGGCTGGATGAGGATCTTGCTACTCTACTACTTAGATCTTACTACTACTATTGCACTTTACTAGGGAGTTGTCTTGGTCACTTCTGTGAGATAAGCAGGTGTTAATTCCTAATTCTGTAAAGTTCTTGTGATTGGGGTAGCTTAATTATTGAGGCTGATCTCTGCTGGACTTTCCTTTTACTGCAGTGAGGGCAAAACCTCCTGTAGGTTTTTAAGTGCCTTCAGAATTTTGCATTTTTTCCACAAAGTATTTCTGGCTTGCTCTTATCTTGAAGAACGCATCATTCTCTTGCTTTGTGTTCCTGACTTGCTCTAGTGCTCAACATCTTCTGCAAATCAGATAATTAATTTTTCTTTTTAAATTAGTGGCTCAATAGATGGTAACAACCAACTTGTAATCAAAGGAAGATTCCAGCAAAAACAGATAGAAAATGTCTTGAGAAGATATATCAGTAAGTATAACTCCCTTTCCACTAGAGATTTCTCTCAGACCCCTTTTGATGCCTGGTGGCCCATGCGTGGCCCACGTGTGTGCATGCTGTGGAGATTCTGTGCTAAGAAGCTACAACTTTGCTGCAGCTTTATAAGGGAATAATGCAAGTGCAGGTGGTTCTACCATGGTTATAATAATATAAGCACACAGGTCGTACTTTGTCCTGGCACTAAAATGCACCAAGGAAAACAGTAAGAGCATTTGAGAACTGCTTGTTTTCACCTGGCTTTCATTTCTTGGCTTTGATGAGGACTATGGAAAATAACAGTAATTGTTGATTTTAAAGTCTGTTGTACATGTTAATTAAATACAGCGTGCATGTCACTGACTGCTGGTCAGAGGACTCGCAGGTTGTATGTAACAAAAAATACTGCTGTGGTGCTGTGTGCATACAAGAGTTGCTGACATCTGGGAATGCTGTTTCAGCAGAGGAAGTTATGGAATGCCGGTGGGAAGTCTTATCTTGTTGTTACTATTTTTAAAAGGCCAGGGTCAGTGTGTAATGTACCATATGAAACCCGGCCTTTATTAACCTGGGAATGGGAGAATTTTTAGGTTGCCTAGCCCTCTGGTTTTCATAGTGAGCCACTTCTGAGTTAGTAGGTGCATTTGAACAGCCTTTCACAACAACTATGGAACTAAAGGCTTGAAGAATGGTAACTGGTCCACTGATAATGTGTTATTTTTTAACTGCAACTTAATTCCTTCTCTGCAGAGGAATATGTCACCTGTCATACCTGTCGGTCACCAGACACAATCCTACAAAAGGACACCAGGTTATATTTCTTGCAGTGCGAGACCTGCCACTCTCGCTGCTCCGTCGCCAGCATCAAAACTGGTTTCCAGGCTGTCACAGGCAAGAGAGCACAGCTCCGTGCCAAAGCTAACTAGTTTGCTAATCAACACTGGATTTTGCAAAGTGTTCTGGGGAGGTTTGGCTGGACAGGTTTACAATCTGAATGGATTTACCATTGTGTTAAAACAAGATTGTAAAAACTACAGGAAATTTGGCTTTTGATTGATTGGTCTGTGATATCCTTGCAAGATGCAGATCCTCAAGCTCTTCACATACATGTGCTCATTGAATATATTTTACTGACTGTAAGGAATGTGATGGGAAAGGAGGTGCTTTTTAATCCATTCAGACTTCTGTAAAACACAAGATAAATTAAAGATACTATAACAGTGAGTGTCTTCGATTTGGATTTTTCCTTCAGTTTCCTCTTTAAACAGCTCATGGGAATGGTCAGTGTGGTGTTCTGCAGATCATGTCACTGAACTATGTCCAAGACCCAGAATAAAGCTGATGAGAGGGTATTTTGCTTTTACATAACAAGCTTTATTTTTAGTTAGGCTATCATTAAACAGAGAAACCAATCACAAAAAGTCACAGGGACGATACACCAATCTGAGAACTGCTCATGCTTAATGTAGCCACATTAATATGGGAATGCATTTTGCACGGAAAGTGACATCAGGACATGTTGATACTGCTTAATTAGGCAGAACGTAGCTCTGAGGGAGTTCAGACACCATATTGATGCTGAATCTTAACACAGAATCGATGAAACCGTACTGTAATCTTTCATAGTGTCATAGGAATAAATTTTGCAATTTCTACTAGAGAAATGTTTATATTTCTTACATTCTGCACTCTTCACCACTTTAAAAAGAACCTAACTATAAAAGGTAACATCATTACATGATGGCTGCAACACAGTCTTACATGAATCTTGAATTTACAGAAGATACTGCCAATTAGTTTGAGTTCCAAATCAACACATTCTGCTTCTTGATCATAACGTGCGCTTCTCTCAGCTTGCCATCGCTATCCGTAATCTCCAGGGGATGCGCACCGTGCTCTCCTAACTGGTTTTTCTAGCGCTGCAGATGTTTTGTTACAGCTGCCAAGTACAAAGATGCAAACGGAGAGTGAAGTCCCTAAGGGGGACAGTTTTCATTTCATTGCCCAAATGGCACAGGGTCAGGATAAGGCAGGGTATCTCAGGACCCTGGGCACCCATCCCTGCAGGTAAGCAGAGTAACCTCCTCCCCAGAAAAAATGGTGGTTATTCAGAATGCGGTTCATTAAATATCAGAAACTGAAGGGTTTCTACCAAGTTTTAATCTTTGTATGTATATTAATACACAACATAGTCTTGCTGGGAAGTCCCTTGCTATTTGAAAACTTGACAGCACTGTAAGGCAAAAATCAAGGTTTTAGGGTTGGTTTCTTAATGAGCTATAATGAATGTTGGATGTATCCTTAAGCGAATAAAGCCAGGATCAGTGCCTGTTGTGACATTACTGTTGTATTGGTTTTCTTCTCTAGCAAACAGGCGTTCTCTCCTGTGGGATGTAAAACTTCTTGGAGAATTGCTAGCTGCCTTCTTGTTTTGGTGCCTTGCTGTTGGGATGCACTGAAATAGCTGGAGAACAGTGACACTTTTCTATTTTTAAATGTTTGCTTTTTCCTCGGGCAAAGACTCTTAACATACTTCAAAAAAAAATACAGTATGGCCTCAAGCTGGTGCTGTATTTGAGTGCATTGAAGGCAAGGTTTGACTTCAGTGTGTTTGGATCAAAAAGATCAGGTTAATAAAGGAAAAAATAATTGTTCGAGCCCATTGTCTGTGAGCTCTCCTGGCTCGCAGGAGAGCTTCATAGCTGAGTTTTATAGATGTATCTTTAGTCGGGGCGTGGAATCCTGAGGACATTGGGTTTGATGATAATATTTGAGTGAAACATCTTGAGCTGTAGGCTCTAACTGTGGAAGAGCCTCACTGACACGTGAAAAGGCTTCTGTGTCTAGGAGCAGATATTAGTTGGCTTTTAATTTTTTTTTTTAAAACCAATCATCACCTTCCAGTCAGTGTACATCCAAAAAGGAGCGTAGCCTACCATGAATACTGTATGCACATACGTATGGTGCATGTAAGGCTGATGTGAGTTTGAGGTACAGTCATGTTCAGAGGCAAAAAAGCAGAGTTTTGCGCTTAAGCTGAACAGAAGGAAGCAGCTTAAGGATGGAGTTCTTGGAACGAGGTGGCAGCTTTGTTTGCTGTGGGTCTGCATGCAGGCATGTATTTGGGGACAGACAGAACTCTTCCCCATGGTTTTTTTTTTTTTCCTCTGAGAGCTGAAAATTGGCTGTATGGTGCTGATGGAGAGGTGGGAGCCAGGTGGAGTTTTTTCTAGGTTTGCACCCTGGCTGCTCCAGTGTGAGCACTTCCCCAAGCAGCCCCTTTCTGCCCCCTGCCAGAGGCAGGACGTGGGTCTGGGTGGACAGTGCTGTAACCCGGCTGGTCTGGGTTTGCTTACCCTCCTCCTGCTCTGGCCTTGTTAGCTGTTGTGTTTCTCCAGCCACTACGCTCACTCTTCCACAGAAACGTGAGGGACTCGAATGATGGGCAAATGGGCAGTTCAGTGTCCCTGGAGGAAAATGGCCAGAAATGCCCCTGTTGGAGGTTGTGTTCAGGCGTTGGGACAAGCCTGTCCCAATGAAAGCCTCTCTCTCGGGCTCTCCCTGCGGCGCAGAGGGGGACTACAGCTGAAGTCTGCGGAGGTTTGGATTCCCACAGTGTTTGCGGGGATCGGCCGGGGTTAGGCTGGACCTGTAGGGCTCTACATCGCATTCTGCTTTCTATGTGTGTGGGGGCATTTGGCAGCGAACCTCAGTCACTGCTTGCTCCAGTCCCGGGAGTCTGTCAGCCTTGGGAAAACTCTTCTCAAATGGCTCTAATCTGGGCTAATGGCTAAAAGGATTTTTGGACAAACAGTAGAATCCTGTGGCAGGAAAGGGAGTGCAACTCCCTGTATCCTTTCCCTCAGTACGCCTTGGAGTGTGGAGAGCTGATGGAGGAGAAGTGTTGCTCTGATCCCAAGTTGCTTAAATGATCTCATGACAGGAGGAGGAAAAAGGCTTTTGAAGGAAGATACTGCCTGGAAGTTGTGAAATCCTGAAGAGACGCAGGTTCGAGCACTCTGGCTGATCCGTAACGCGCGCTCTCGCCTGTAAAAGCCTTTGGCTCGAAGGGACCTCGCCCATCTCCAGTCCCTCGGCTAAGAAATCCCGTTTTTTCAGCTCTTTCTATAGTCAGTAATGAAGACAGGGAGGCGCCTCCGGAGGCGAGGCAGCCAGTCTCTTTGTTTTTAGGAAGAGCCTAGGGAGACTCTGCTTTTACTGTAGGTGCTTGAATACAGATAAGATACAGGTACATACTCACATAGGTGTCACAACACATATGCTATGTGTTCGTATATATTCTGTATATAAGAATGCAGCTGAACCTGTGCTGTTGGTCTCTGTCAAAGCCCAAGGGAGCAACTATACTTCTTTACACAGAAGCAGATATCTAAGCTGGCCCTGGGAACATGTTGCTGCCTATAGACACGAGGAATTGCCTTTTCCTTGCAGGAAGAAAAATCGTTTCTTGCTTCCTGTCTGCTTGTGCCTGTAACGCCAGGCTCGTTCCTCGCCGTGTAACTGCAGTTCAGCCTTCTTCCATTTCGCATATTGCAAACAACTGCGTATTTCTGAAACAAAACAGTCAGGGCTTTATATCTGTGTAATTAATAATTTTTTTTGGCTGGATACCCAGCAGAAATATGTGGATACCACCCTCTTCAGCTGGTTGCATCTTCCCTAGCGGGTCTCTGGGCTCAGAGAGACTTTGGGTTTTCTAAGACAGAAGCTGCTTCCTTGCTCCTATGTTCTGAACTAAAGCAAATTAGTTTTAAAACCTCTGTTTCTTCCCCCAGCCTTGCTTGCTGCTTTGGGTAATTATCCCATAGGTTTTGTGTATTTCTTTCTTCCACATGGAAACGTTTTGCTTGGAGGATGCTGTGACTTTGATGGCAAACCAGGCCCTAACTGGCACCAGTGTTGGGTCGCTTGGCTGGATCCTGGTGCTTCTAAAGTCGTCCTACAGTCGTCTTCTGGTAATACCCATTTTCGTTAAAAAAGGAAAAGAAAAGGGAGGAGTTCTGCCTTCGTTACAGGGAGAAGAGCTAGATGGGATTAATTTTGAAAACAAGGCATAAAAGGCAAGCAAAAAAATAAATTTTTGGTTATTTTTAGTTTTGTGGACTGAAATGTCTGTCTGTACCACTCGTGGTCCTCAGAGCCTGCTGCAGACCTTGTGCTGTGTGTTTGTTCAGCACCAAAATAGCCTTTTTTCTAAGCATAAATGTGAAAAACTAAGTTCTGGGAAACATGAGCTCATCTGAAATGAAGCTTAAAATGTTTTTCTTCCCCATGTTGTCTCCACGCTTTCCAGCACCCTCACACAATGGGTCACTTTCCTGCGAGTCCCAGCCAGTAGGGAGGATTCCATTTCTTTCCTTCTGAAAGAGCTGTGTCTTGGGCTCTCTTCCCGTGGTTATTTAGGTTTGAGGCTGTGGTTGCCAGTGAGGTTTCCCTGTTAGTGAGAGGCTGCTTGGGGCTGGCTGTGCAGACTCCAATATTTTTTGTCCATGACAGTTTGTTTTTAATTCCAGACCTACTCCACTTTCTCCAATTCATTTAGGCTGTGTGCTCAAGCTCATTGTTTCCCTCTGCACTTTGTTCTGGATGAGGGAGGTGGCCATTAAATCCTGCCCCTGACCAGGAACGTCCTTGGGCGTGAAGAACGTGGAGCGTGCTGGGGCTGGAGCCTGATCTGGACCTCGTGGACCTCGCGGGCAGAGAGATGTCTTCTGAGCTGGCCGAAATCAAGAGACAGGATGCTCTGGCACATGTGGATATGAAGGGGATCTCCTGAGTGGTAAGGAGGGGGCCAAGCTGGAGCGCAGGGTGACCATCGGGAGTGGATGTCCCAGCTGTGCTGTTCCTCTCTCCCTGAATGGCTCAGGATCACCCAGCAGAAGGAAACTCCAGGCAAATGGGATTGCTTGCACTGTCGTGGCTCTGAGACCCCCTGCTGGGACTAACCTCACCTCGGTAGCCCAAGCACCCCCGGGCCGGCGTCTTGCAACTCCTGCTTGCCACTGCGGCAGTGCTGGTGCTGCCATTTTACCAGAGATGGAGCTGCGGTCGTCCCCGTGTAGCGGAGAGTCATTTTGCTGTGAGGGTTGAAGGGTTCTTGAAGATAGGAAATATGTAGGTAATGAAAAAAGAATATTAAACTTAATGCATAGAAATAATAGGAGGTGAGAATTGGGCAAGCATGCAAATGCCGCAGAGGAAAA